ACATGATTGTCTTTTCAAGTGAGTCAGCTCTTAAAACATAACCACACTTTGCATAATCCTGATTTACTTTATAAACTACTGTTGTGGACAGTAGTTAAAGCATATCATGACTTAGGATGTTCTGTGAACCCAACCGATATTTTGGGATTTTAAGTAAAACGTTGAACGTGCTCTGTACAAGATCTATCTATTTTTCTTTTTCTGGCGAGATGGACAACATAGACATTTAATCAATGCATTTTTAAATGGTAGCTTTTTAGCAGTTGGCGCTTAAGTGGAAATACCAGAATGAAAAAGCAAAAAATAAATAAATTGTGGTTTAGGCTTTCACTGCTGGAGATGGGAAGATGTTCAAATGCTGACTTTCCACTTGCCTTTCACCCAGGAACCCCTCAAGGAGAAAAATTGGCAACTGTACTACACAGTTTGTTGTTCTTTGCAAAAAAGAGAGAGAGAGAGAGAGAGACTTCATAAATGAAATTAGCTCTCCAAATTGTGCTGAACTTCACATTCTTTTTTGGGAGGGATGGCCGTTAGATTCTCGGTCCTGCTGTTCTTACGCTGTTGGAGAAATTCTTTGCTAGAATTTGCTTAGATTCCTAGGATCTTCAGTGTTGCATTTGTGGCAGCCCTTGCCTCTTAAACTGTAACTATGCATCCTTGGATGTTTTCCTTTGGAGGAGAAAAAAACATTCTCTTGATTCCAGTCTTTGTACTTCATAATGGGGGATTAAATAAATAGCTCAGCTTTTTGGATCATGAATAGCTTTGAAAACTGTTCTGACCCAAACCTTGTTCCAAGAAAACCAACACGAAACGGAGGTAACAGCAAAACCTTTTAATGATTCTTTACAAATTCCGTTCCTTCACAGTTAAAAGGCTGTTTCAAACTAATTGTCTCTGATAAGAACGAGCCTTGCCAAGGTTGTGCATGGCTGCCAAGAACACTAGATAAAGTTGCCAAGAAATATTTCAAACACAATATTCCAAACACAAACTAAGAGAGTCCGAACGTCCACAAGGCTTGAGTGCAAAAACTTCTTTGCTTCCTGCAAAGAACTCCGGTTTCTCAGCTGGCTTTTATATTTTGAGGGAGGGACCATTACCTTGCAGCCTTACTCCCGAGTCGTCCGTGCTGCTGCAGCTGCTCTTTACTTCAAGCAGTCCTGTGCTCATGCGCACTGGGCACAGGCTCCTCGGGGACTTCTTCCTCACTGCTGCCAGCCTCCACAATCTCTAAAGGCAGCATTCCAGTCCCTGATAGTCCTGGCCCCAGCCCTGCATCACACACAGGCCCCTCATCTGAGTCCTCGCTCTCCGAGACCTCAGCTGTCCACACCTGCTGTCGGCAAACCACAACAACAACCTGATAGAATAACTGTAAGAACATCTCCCGTTCTCTTTTAGATATTGCTGTTTTGCAAAATGTTTTTTTAAAATACTAACGTCAAAGGAATGCTTGATTGCTAGTGTTTGTTGTCAGCCAGGTGTTCTCTTATTTGATTTTGGTGGGTGTAATTTTGTGCAGTAGGGTAATCTCAGTGTGCACATACCTCAGTGTGTATTTTGTATCCCGTAAAGGCAGAAACAAGCAGGGTATAATGTGATGTTAGAATAAAAACATGATATTTATCCTTGAAAGCGTTTTCTTTTATTGCTTTTATAAATTAAAAAAATGCAGACCCTTCCATGTTTCATCTTCTAGATTAAATGTCTATTTTGACTCTGCTTGGTACTTCCCCTTGAAAATATAAAAAGAAAAATTCTAAAATAAAATAGCAAAAACATGGTGAGATTTACATGATATAAGTAGATATTAGAAATTTGTATGTTATAATTTTAGAATGCACAAATTTAATGTTTAATGAGATTTCACATGATAATAACTATAAGACTTAAAGGTGTTGCACTCCGATTGACAATCATAAGGGGGAATTTTGCTTTTTAAGAATATTAGAAGAGAAGATATGAAATTGTAAACAAGACAGACGAAAGTATAAGTATAATGAATAAAAAGATATAGAAATTTAGGCAAAACAAATATAATTGAATAAGAAGAAAATGAGATAACTATAAAAGAAAACTAAGAGAAGTAAAGGGAGAAATAGTGAGAAATTGGAAAAAGAGTGATAAGATATGAAGCTGAATATATAAGAAGAATATGCATATGAAATTGTGTCTGTATGGAAATGTGATAACCCGGAACCATGCTGTACTGAAATAAGATGTTTTATTTGTTTTGTTAAAACTCAATAAAACTTTGCTAAAAAAAATGTTATTGAGAATGAGTTGATAGAGTTTAAATTAGCATCCCAGTGTCTGTCCTTTGTTGACTTCATTTGTAGGATAGCTTCATGTTTGGCTAAACCCATCAGGGAAAACACCACTGTGATTTTTTGCTTAGTGTTATATCCAAACCAAAGTTCTTTATTTATCCTCGGAAGCAGAATTGGAGCCGAGGTTTTGGTTCACAATTCTGACTTGTTAGAGAACAAACAATAGCATCGAAGTTAAAAATAAAGTTTGGAGACTGAAAGTAAGATGTGCTTCTCTCTTTTCCTGCTCTAGATTGCTTGTGATAGTATCAGTTACGTTATTCAGGTTATTCTTACACCATCTGGTATTTATGCATGTTCAGTCTTCAGTTTCTAAGATTGCCACCCTCATGGGTTGGTTGAAATATCATGTTGTGTTTAAACAGGTTTGCTTAGTTTGTTTGAGTTAAGCCTCCAAGTTCAGGAATGTGGGTTAGAATTTGCATCGTCTTGTTTTGGAGGATTTCCTCAAACGATCATTTGCTGTATGTGATGAAACTACAGATTGCTGCAAATAAAGAATTAATTGGGCCCTTATTATAAGGAGGAGGTAGAAAGATAAAACCTAGAAGAGAGAGAAAAACAAGCAAAGGCCGAAGAGGAAATGGTATGTAAATAGGCAATAAATAAATTTGTGGTCCTTGTAAAGAGTTCATCCTCCTTCTGTAAATAAATTTTGTTTTATGGATGTAGACAGAAATTATTTACATCCTGCAATAACCATTCAGATCTGAAGTTGTTACTGCAGTGAACTTGTTCTCACCGTAAAAGAGAGATAGAGTGATATCAGAGGTGGTATTTCAGCAGGTTCTGGAGAACCGGTAGTGGAAATTTTGAGTAGTTCGGAGAACCAGCAATACCATCTCTGACTGGAGATTTTACAGTATCCTTCCCCTTCCACACACATCAAGCCACGCCCACAGAACCAGTAGTAAAAAAAATTTGAATCCCACCGCTGAGTGGTACCTTATATTTTTTTATAAGATACTACACCCAGCAGCAGAAGAACCAATAAGCAAGTCTGTCAACTGTAGCTTTATAATTTTGGGGTGGCATCAGTGAGATTTTTAAAGTACATTTATGCTCCAAGTAAACTTAGATGTTTTGCTATTCCTTAGCATGGAAATCCGGTTCCGCCATGTTGCATAACACCTAACCAATCAATTGCATGGACAGTCCTGATTTTATCACCTATATAATTTTGGATATTCTTCTCCTGCAGTAGTAGGGAAAATATAACAGCACCATCATATCCTGTTCTAGTCTACTGAACTTCAGCTCATTGACTGCTGTCAGAAGTTAAATGGACTTCTGGACTTAAGACCATCAAGACATCTGGTTTATCAAACCAGGATGTTATTAAACCAAGCATGGAAAGGAAGAAGGATGTACAAGGTTCATAAACTTGATGTCCCAGGTCTTCATACTCAGGACTTCCCTGTGGCCACTATGGTCCATTTCAATGCATTTCCTAAAGTGACAAAGCATGAACAAAGAATTCTATATATGTCCTACATTGACTGTGTAAACCAGGGGTCTCCAACCTTGGCAACTTTAAGCCAGGTGGACTTCAGTTCCCAGAATTCCCCAGCCAGCTTTGCCAAGGTTGGAGACCCCTGGTGTAAACCATTTAGAGAGGGCTGTAAAGCATTATGAAGTGGTATATAAGTCTAAGTGCTATTAAGGAAAAATAACAATACCTTTATTTTAAAAAGCTGCTTCACATTATTTGCTTTTAAGGCCACCGGTATTGATTCAAGTCAGAATAGAGCTGGAAGGGACCTTGGAGGTCTTCTAGTCTAACCCCCTGCTCAAGCAGGAGACCCTATATCTTCTCAGGCAACTGGCTGTCCAGTCTCTTCTTGAAAACCTCCAGTGATGAAGCACCTACAACTTCAGAAGACAATCTGTTCCACTGGTTAATTGTTCTCACTTTTAGGAAGCCTCTCCTTAATTCCAGGTTGCTTCTCTCCTTGATTAGTTTCCATCTGTTGTTTCTTGTCTTGCCTTCTGGTGCTTTGGAGAATAAGTTGACCCCCTCTTCTTTGTGGCAGCCCCTCAAATACTGGAACACTGCTATCATGTCACCCTGAGTCCTTCTTTTCCCTAGCCTGGCCAAACCCACATCCTGCCACCGTTCTTCATATGTTTTAGTCTCCGGACCTTTAATCATCTTACTTGCTGTTCTCTGCACTTTTTCCAAAGCCACAACATCTTTTTGGTGACATGGTGACCAAAACTGGATGCAGTATTCTAGGTCTTGGTTTTCCTAAGGTTTTCTAAAGCGGTACTACTATGGGGCGGTCTATACACAAAGGCTGTTTCATGCAGAACCAGGAATCCTGCCCACTTTTTCTGTGATTTGCTACATTCCTAGCATTTATGCGTGGCTGCTTTTGTTCTTCATAAAGAGTGCCCTGATGTAACCATTTCAGCTGTTGTGACTTTTTCATAAAGTCATAATCGTTCAGGGATATTGAAAATAGCTTTCGGAAAGGAGGAGAATAATGATGTGAGAGTACCATGTTACTAACGCCTGTTTTAAGGACTGATCCTCAAACCTTTTAAGTGATTTGCATAGAAGAGAAGATTGGAACGGCTGATGGGTTTTGTGTCTTCCTGGTTGTGTTGGGTTCCACAAAGCTTGGATTCACTGCATCACAGCTTTGCTTTTTCTCCCTTCAGGGTATCAAAAAGCCTTTCACAGAAGTCATCAAGGCCAACATTGGTGATGCTCACGCCATGGGACAGCAGCCCATCACCTTCCTTCGACAGGTAGGTGGAACCCTGCTGGAGGAAGAGTAGACTTGAAGAAAGGCAACTAAAGTCATAAGGTTATCCCGAAGTGGACAGCTGTGTCTGGTTTCTCCAAAGTGGAAATTAAAGCGAGGAAGGGGAAAAAAATATCAAAGCTGCTCACCTGGATTGGTGTTTGTTTGTTTTTTAAGAGACTAGGTGGGATACCTTCCCAGGGAAAGGCTGCTGGGGGGTTCGTGGGGGTTCAGGAAAGCCCCTAGCTAAGATTCTGTGCAGTTAATAGAACCCCCAAATCCCACTCCTGGCTGGCTTCACCCCACCCATCTCCTCCCAGGAGTCCCTACGTGCAGGGGTGGGATTCTACCAATTCAGACCAGTTCTATAGAACTGGTTGTTATGATTCTGCGCAGTTTGGAGAACCGGCAAATCGTGCCCCTGGCTGGCCCTGCCCTTCTCCGCCTTCCCCCCACTCAGTCCTTATTGCACATGCCCGACATTGCTGACTGCGTTCTCCCCTGCCCAGTCACTCCTTAAGGTATTTCTTTTTTCTCCCCAACGATCAGCTGTTCCGACGATCGGCTGTGCTGGGATCCTCCTCGCTTGTCTTACTGCTTCCTCGCGCAGGCTTCCCAGAGGCCCAGCAGGCAAAAAAGGGTGTGCAGGGCGAGTGTGGGTTGGGTGGCACAAAAAAGCCATGGCCACCCAGTCACAGGGCCACGCCCAGCTAGCCACGCCCACAGAACTGGTAGTTAAAAATATTTGCATCCCACCCCTGCATACGCGGCCTGTTTTGGAGGCAGATAAGTGCAGGGTGCGGGCGGAGGCTCAAGGAGGGCAAAAAACGGGCCTTGTGGAAGTTTGGGAAGGCCGGAAATGGACCCGTTTCTGGCTTCCAGAGAGGCTCTTTTGCCCCCCCGGAGGCTTGAGAAAAGCTTCTGGATCCCGGGCAGGGGAAAAAAAACCAGAGGTGGTATTCAGCCAGTTCTGACCAGTTCTGGACAACCAGTAGCGGAAATTTTGAGTAGTTCGGAGAACCAGCAAATCCCACCTCTGATTGGCCCCGCCAACCCCATCTTTTCTCTGCCTCCCATTGAGTCCCAGCTGATTGGCTGGGTCTTCTTTGGTTGCCCTGCACAGGAGAACGGAGCTGGAAAGCAGGTTAGTGGAGTGAGGAGGGAATGGAGATTTTGCAGTATATCCTTCCCCTGTCATGCCCACCAAGCCACGCCCACAGAAGTGGTAGTAAAAAAAATCTGAATCCCATCACTGCAAAAAAAACCTTCCCTCCACGGGGCAAGAGGCCGACTAGGCCACGCCCACCATGGCCACACCCACCCAGCAACCGGGCAGAGGACCCGCTGCTAAAAATTTTGAATCCCATCCTTGATACCGTCCAGATAGCAAGCACTTGTGCAATGTTTGTGAGTGTGTGTCAGAGATGCACGGGAGGGTGTCACAGAGCTAACTTGAGCAAATTGGAGCAGAAGTCTAGTTGCCAAAGTAGCTGAGAAACAAGCACTACGCCATGCCACCTTTGAAATAATAACAACATAGACAATAATACCACAGAGAGTTCTCAACTTGCGGCCACAAGAGAGCCTAAAATATCCCTCGCTAAGCGAGGCAGGAGGAAGCGAGTTTTGCAACCTTTTTTCCATGATTCTTAAGCGAATCACTGCACTTGTCAACCGAATCATGCAGTCGTTAAATGAATTGGGCTTCCCCCGTTGACTTTGCTCGCCTGAAACCGGATGGGAAAGTTATAAGTAGCGATCACCTGACCCCAGAACAGTTCAACCGTCATAAATACATGCCAGTTGCCAAGCCCCTAAATTTTGACCCTGTGACCAATGCAGATGCTACAACGGTCCTAAGCGCCAAAACCGTTTTCTTAAGTCCATTTTTTTCAGGGCCGTTGTAGCTTCAAACGGTCGCTAAACGAAGAGTTGTAAGTCAAGGACTTCCTGTAGAGCGAGATTAGAATCATTTGATAGATTGCACTAATAAGTTGGGTATAAATCTGTGTCCCGAGGAATTCATCTCTTTCCATGTGTTTTCCGGGCGATGTAGGTGGTGGCCCTCTGCACGTATCCCAACCTGCTGGACAGCCCCAGTTTCCCAGAAGACTCCAAGAAGAAGGCAAGACGGATCTTGCAAGGCTGTGGAGGCAACAGCTTAGGTACGTTGATCACTTTTTCACATTAGATCCTCGCTGTCTCTGTTGGCGGTCATTCTGGACTCTGAAGGTAGAAGAATAGAAGATCTGACTTTTTATTAATAGCTGACCAGCTGGGGTAAGGCTGCTGTAAAAGCTGATGCAATAAGGATGAATCAGCATGGGTATTGCCGCTTTAAGACTGAAGATGGGTCCCACAGGGTTTTACCACTTTAAGAAGTTGTCTATATATGTAAAGCCATGTAAGGCCAGGTATCTCTCTTTCTTTGTTTTCTGTCTCCATTCTGGTTCTCCATGCAGAATAAAGAAGATTGCTTGCTTGCCAGGTATTTGCCTACCATGTATATTTATGTATAGAGCAGTTTTAGATATAAACCTAGATGCAGTTTGAAAATAACCAGATATTTAATTGATAAATTCCCAGTACAGTAATGCTCTTTTATTTTCTTCCATTTTCCTACCTATTTTACCTTCCCCCACCCATTTCTTTTCACCCTGAAATTATTTCATTTCTTATTGCTTGCGACATAATGAAACAATTTGGATATGATCCCGTAGCTAAATAATTTGCATGGCGGCTGGGCAATTCTGGGAGGTGAAGTCCTCACATCTCAAATTGGCCAAGCTAAGGGATCGCATGCAAATTGGTTTATTGTGTCGCAAGGTTGAGAAATGCAGCTATAGCGTGATGTGTTATGCTCATTGTTGACAACATCGGTTCAAGATGTTCCCGGGCCACTGTGTCTAGGAAAGAGTTAAGCTGGAATAATTCACTGTCAGAAATATTTAGAAATTTTCCAGGAGAAGTGTCTCACAACTTAACATTCTACACAAATGAAACACAACTTTCCCATCTCAAATTGGAAGACCAAATGCTAACTGAAATGAATGACAGTAGCAACAAGGCCAGTCTGAGTCTCTTTTTCCTTCTAGTCGTTCACCCAGATCCTTAGGTTCACACATATTTTTCTAAGTTTCCTTAATAACATTTAAAACTCTAAAACTAGTTCAACTTGATATATAAGGAAGTATAATTGGACAACTATGGTGGTCTCTCATGAATGAAGACACTGAGGCAGTCGTCTTGAAGCCAAATCGGGATGAGAGCACAGGGCAAGCTCTGACACCCTCTTTTATTAGAAGCAATCTTTGTTAACGTTTGCAATTTTTTGTTAGTGTGTTGTTACAAACTCATTACATCACACAAAATACCATATGAGAATACAAAGCTGTAAAGTTTAAATTTGCTACAATTCTGGGTAAGAAGTGGCAACATTTCGACCTTGTCCCTCGCCTCGTGTTACAAACAACTACCAGAAGGCCCGTTGTCCTTGCACGCGCGCGAGGAAACAGATAGCAATTCCCACATCTCCTCTGTTTTTCTTTTTTTTAAAAGACAGGGAGTGTTTTAGTTCCAACAGCAGCCTTTGTTAGGCGCGTAGGCAAGAATGCTGTGCATGCTGATGTTATCCATGGCGTTCGTGACTTCTTCGACCATCACAAACATCTTGTCCTCGTCTGGGTCATCACAGGTTGGCTCTCCCATTTCTTCTTCGGATGGCAGTGGTTCATATGTGTTAGTTATTTGTTGATTCCAGAGAGCCATTACCCGTGCAGTGGCTTTTTTCTCAGCCAAAAGGGATAAACTGTTAGAAATAGTGCGTACAAAGATAGGTAATACACAAGGCAATATAATACATCCTGCAGCAATCATACCAATAAGCGCTACAGTAGCTTGCAAACCAGGTAATTTTGGGAACCAGGATCCAAACATGTCTCTAAAATCAAGACCATTCCATGTTTGTACAGGTACATGTGCAATCTTGATCATTCTATCAGTGATTTGTTGAATAACTTTTCCACTATCATCTATTTCAATACAACAATTACTAAGATTAAATTTTCCACACACTCTTCCTTCTTTGGCAAGAAGATAATCTAACGCCAAACGATTTTGCATGATATATGTTCTAGACAATGCACTTTCTTTAGCTAGTGTTTTCAAAGCAAGAGCAGTTTCATTGGTTATAATTTCTAATACAGTTTGCAACCTTATAATTCTATTGAGCATATATATGTGGGGGTATGGTACCCCCAAGTCCCGTCCTGGGCCTCTTACTTGAGCAGAGTCAATAGGTGGGGTGTATCAGTAGTTGTAAACAGTGGTGGCCCCCACATTAGTCCCGGACACCTTTTGGAAGAGATATTTCTTTTCCTGTAGATAAGATCTTTGCCAGCTGTGTGAGCCGCAGGTGACTCCTGCAGCGTCGTTAGGACCTTGGCCTTTGTTGATGGCAAAACAAGCATCAAAACACACAAAAGTGTTGGTAACCCCCCGAGTGACATTATGGGTAATGTACCCATTTTTTGCTTGACTGGTAGAGAACATTGAGGCAAGGTCAGAGCTGGATCCTCCTTTGTAGGCATAGACATACAGTGAGGCGGTGATGGGCCCCACAGCCTTTGGTTCGTAGCATTGGATACCTTGTTTGGTGTAGCATCGTGCATATTGAGTGTTGTTATGCAGACAAGGGGAGACCGTCGTGGAGTTGCACTCAGGTTTCAAAGTATGATAGATCAGGGTGGACTGGGTCTTCGTTCCGCTGCGAGTAGTTTTGATGCAGGCATCACAGGAGGATGGGATGGCTGTCATATCGGCAGGAACGATGTGGAAACCCAGGAAACAAATGATGAATGCAGCGGGCAGCTTCATGATGCTGATGTAGGCAAGGCTGGTTTGGGTAGAAAAGGCCTTACGTGTCGTCCAGGGACCCAGATGGTGTTGTTGTTGTCAGCGTACCCTCATCCCCAGGTTATAAGTTCAGCAGGACCTTTCCACTGAGGATCTGGAAGCTGATACCGTTGGTCTGGGTTCAGGATGAGGCGAGGAAGCGAAATGACGTGATGCTGCTGTGCATGGGGGGGATCCGGACTCATTGAGGAAGTTAAGAGTAAACAAGCAAACATTCAATGCATTCTGGAGTCCTGGCAACCCTGTGACATTTTTTAAATTTGAATTTAAACTGTCTGGCCAAGGCTTTTTTGTTTTGATGAAAATAACTATGACTGTCCCAGGGTGTTTGTTGTGAAAGAATCATGCAAGAGATGGCGCTGTCTGCGGTTGCAGCTGCGGCTGCTGCATCAGCCATATCATTGCCTTCCTGGAGAATTCCTGGGAAGGGTTGGTGGCTGCGAATGTGTGCTACAAAGAGCGGGTGCTGGTGCTGTGCAACAAGGTGTTGCAATGTAACAAAAAGAGAGAAAAGATTTTTAGAGACAGAGACTGAAGTGAAGGATAGACAGTAGTTGAAAGCATTTTATGCGTATGGAGTTAGTACTTCGATGAAATCAATCTGTGTTCTCTGGAAAGGCCAGCCCATCAGGGGTCGCCCTCCCATTTCTTTTTTCCTTGCTACTTTCTTGTTTACTTTCAAACATACTTTGCATTCACAGAAACCACCTTCACCCCTTCTCAGTTTCCCAACTCATCTTTCTCTTTTTCCTCAGATTTCCAATCCTAACAACTCACATTTCTGCGCAGACCATGAAGGAAGGGAGGGAGCCCTTTTATGACCTCCCCTGCTCCTATCATGACTGCAAATCCTGATTTCCTCTTTCCTTCCTCAACCCTGCTTGACCCATCCACCTACTTGCAACAAACAATCATGGTCCTCAGTTCCCACGATTCTGCAAGCCTTTAGATCAGGGATCCCCAACCTTTTCGACGCCGCGGCCCGGTTCCGGCGTCAGCTGGGCGCCGCGGCCCGGTTCCGGCGTCAGCTGGGCGCCGCCATTTTTTTTTATGAAAAATCACTTCCGGTGATGTCACCGGAAGCGATTTTTTCATCAAAAAAAATGGCGGCGCCAGCGCTTCCAGTGAGCTTTTTCGGGTAGAAATGGCTTTCTACCCGGAAAAGCTCACCGGAAGCGCTGGCACCGCCATCTTTTTTGACGAAAAATTGCTTTTTTTACCAAAAAAAGATGGCGGCGCCCAGCAACCAGCGGCCCGGTAAGGCTTGTTCCGCGGCCCGGTACCGGTCCGCGGACCGGCGGTTGGGGACCCCTGCTTTAGATAGTCCGAGAGGGAAGCCCCCCCTCGGGCAGATAGAGGCTGCAGAATCCTCTTGCAATCCTCATTTGCATTTTCAACAACCAGTTTTAACAGACTAAGAGATTTTTTAGGAGTGTTGAGGAAGATGTATCCATTCTAAGATAAGGAGGTTGCTAGTGTGCTGAGACTTTTGGGTTAATACAGCAGTAGGTAAGGAGGGGGTGTATTGAGCAAGATTAAGGAAATAGGAGCATTGTTGTGACATTGGTTGACCCACCTTTTCTGCATAATGTGCTATATGTCCTGGGTGATTTTTAATTGATGATCTGTAATGGTAATTTTATCCCCTGGAGTGGTTCCTCCCTTTAACACATCAAACAGGGGGTTGAGCATGTGTGTAGTGATGCCAAAATAGGGACGGGTCCAATTAATAGCCCCTAAATATTGTTGTAATTGTACGAGGGATGTCTACACAATGGCATCACGTGTGGATGGACTGAAACTTGTATATCAAAATTTAAAAAAAGAAAAGCAAGAAGGGAAAGGTGTCCTAGGCACTCTTTTCCAATATTTTACAAGGAGAAGAAGAAGCAAGGGAGAAAGGAAGAGATGAGAGGCCTTAAGCAAAAGTTCTCCAGAGATAATAGACAAATTCCACTGAAAAAGGGATTTCAGAAAGGCACACAAGACCGCATTTCTACACCTACATCCAGAAATAACCATAGAAAACTGGAAACAACATGCAATTCAAAATGTGACAAAACACTCAGTATAATCTAGTGAAACCTTTGCCAAGAAAAGGAGTACTGTAATGAAACAATGATTTAAGACATGGGATGTGGGGGGGGGGAAACAATCCCGGAAAGCATAAGTGTTTCCACAAAGGCATGATATCTAACCGAAAGGGGTAAAATGTTCAAGACATAAATAATTGTCAACATCAATGATTAGACTATGTTATCCCAGCGAAACCTTTTGTGAAATGAAAGATCTGAAGTAGGAGAAGGGGGAACACTGCAATGAAATAATGATCTATAATATGTGATGTGGTTTAACTGAAAAGCAATGCACCAAATGTTCAAGACACAAATGAATATCAACACTAATGAATAACAATACTGCACAATTTCAGAATGCACCAGATAGAATCCCAGTGCAAATTATGTGTTCTATATTAAGTATTACAAATATAGGGGAAAGAGTTAAAGGCATCACACTCCATTCAGTGCACAGGAGAAGTTTTTCTTCAAAGAAGAAACTGGAAATAGAACAAAGAATAACAAACTATGATTCGAATTGAGAGGAGATAAACAAAATAAAACCGAGAAAATTCAAAAGAGAGGAGAAGCTATGTAGAAAATTGAAAATGCCAATAAGATGCCAATG